AAGGCGCATTTGTTACGAAAAACAACTATAACTAATGTACATCAGTTATAACTAATGAACATTCGTTATAGTGGTTTTTCGACCAAACCGCGCTTTCTTTACGGTTTTTTGTTTTTCGAGTTACTTGATAACGCTTGTATGTTGATGTTACGTGTCATTGGAACGATAGTTTGAAGTTGTTAGAGCGCCGAGACACTCACAACGAGTCTCTTTTTTTTGAAATAACAACACTTGTTATTTGCTTTTGTTTTTGCAAAATGAAAGATGATGTGGAATATTTGTAAATTCTTTATTTTACATGAATAAATAAATAAAATGAAACCAATAACGATCTTAACATCTTTATAACGTGTTATATGACGGACGCACGGTCGTGTAAGGCGCATTTGTTACGAAAAACAACTATAACTAATGTACATCAGTTATAACTAATGAACATTCGTTATAGTGGTTTTTCGACCAAACCGCGCTTTCTTTACGGTTTTTTGTTTTTCGAGTTACTTGATAACGCTTGTATGTTGATGTTACGTGTCATTGGAACGATAGTTTGAAGTTGTTAGAGCGCCGAGACACTCACAACGAGTCTCTTTTTTTTGAAATAACAACACTTGTTATTTGCTTTTGTTTTTGCAAAATGAAAGATGATGTGGAATATTTGTAAATTCTTTATTTTACATGAATAAATAAATAAAATGAAACCAATAACGATCTTAACATCTTTATAACGTGTTATATGACGGACGCACGGTCGTGTAAGGCGCATTTGTTACGAAAAACAACTATAACTAATGTACATCAGTTATAACTAATGAACATTCGTTATAGTGGTTTTTCGACCAAACCGCGCTTTCTTTACGGTTTTTTGTTTTTCGAGTTACTTGATAACGCTTGTATGTTGATGTTACGTGTCATTGGAACGATAGTTTGAAGTTGTTAGAGCGCCGAGACACTCACAACGAGTCTCTTTTTTTTGAAATAACAACACTTGTTATTTGCTTTTGTTTTTGCAAAATGAAAGATGATGTGGAATATTTGTAAATTCTTTATTTTACATGAATAAATAAATAAAATGAAACCAATAACGATCTTAACATCTTTATAACGTGTTATATGACGGACGCACGGTCGTGTAAGGCGCATTTGTTACGAAAAACAACTATAACTAATGTACATCAGTTATAACTAATGAACATTCGTTATAGTGGTTTTTCGACCAAACCGCGCTTTCTTTACGGTTTTTTGTTTTTCGAGTTACTTGATAACGCTTGTATGTTGATGTTACGTGTCATTGGAACGATAGTTTGAAGTTGTTAGAGCGCCGAGACACTCACAACGAGTCTCTTTTTTTTGAAATAACAACACTTGTTATTTGCTTTTGTTTTTGCAAAATGAAAGATGATGTGGAATATTTGTAAATTCTTTATTTTACATGAATAAATAAATAAAATGAAACCAATAACGATCTTAACATCTTTATAACGTGTTATATGACGGACGCACGGTCGTGTAAGGCGCATTTGTTACGAAAAACAACTATAACTAATGTACATCAGTTATAACTAATGAACATTCGTTATAGTGGTTTTTCGACCAAACCGCGCTTTCTTTACGGTTTTTTGTTTTTCGAGTTACTTGATAACGCTTGTATGTTGATGTTACGTGTCATTGGAACGATAGTTTGAAGTTGTTAGAGCGCCGAGACACTCACAACGAGTCTCTTTTTTTTGAAATAACAACACTTGTTATTTGCTTTTGTTTTTGCAAAATGAAAGATGATGTGGAATATTTGTAAATTCTTTATTTTACATGAATAAATAAATAAAATGAAACCAATAACGATCTTAACATCTTTATAACGTGTTATATGACGGACGCACGGTCGTGTAAGGCGCATTTGTTACGAAAAACAACTATAACTAATGTACATCAGTTATAACTAATGAACATTCGTTATAGTGGTTTTTCGACCAAACCGCGCTTTCTTTACGGTTTTTTGTTTTTCGAGTTACTTGATAACGCTTGTATGTTGATGTTACGTGTCATTGGAACGATAGTTTGAAGTTGTTAGAGCGCCGAGACACTCACAACGAGTCTCTTTTTTTTGAAATAACAACACTTGTTATTTGCTTTTGTTTTTGCAAAATGAAAGATGATGTGGAATATTTGTAAATTCTTTATTTTACATGAATAAATAAATAAAATGAAACCAATAACGATCTTAACATCTTTATAACGTGTTATATGACGGACGCACGGTCGTGTAAGGCGCATTTGTTACGAAAAACAACTATAACTAATGTACATCAGTTATAACTAATGAACATTCGTTATAGTGGTTTTTCGACCAAACCGCGCTTTCTTTACGGTTTTTTGTTTTTCGAGTTACTTGATAACGCTTGTATGTTGATGTTACGTGTCATTGGAACGATAGTTTGAAGTTGTTAGAGCGCCGAGACACTCACAACGAGTCTCTTTTTTTTGAAATAACAACACTTGTTATTTGCTTTTGTTTTTGCAAAATGAAAGATGATGTGGAATATTTGTAAATTCTTTATTTTACATGAATAAATAAATAAAATGAAACCAATAACGATCTTAACATCTTTATAACGTGTTATATGACGGACGCACGGTCGTGTAAGGCGCATTTGTTACGAAAAACAACTATAACTAATGTACATCAGTTATAACTAATGAACATTCGTTATAGTGGTTTTTCGACCAAACCGCGCTTTCTTTACGGTTTTTTGTTTTTCGAGTTACTTGATAACGCTTGTATGTTGATGTTACGTGTCATTGGAACGATAGTTTGAAGTTGTTAGAGCGCCGAGACACTCACAACGAGTCTCTTTTTTTTGAAATAACAACACTTGTTATTTGCTTTTGTTTTTGCAAAATGAAAGATGATGTGGAATATTTGTAAATTCTTTATTTTACATGAATAAATAAATAAAATGAAACCAATAACGATCTTAACATCTTTATAACGTGTTATATGACGGACGCACGGTCGTGTAAGGCGCATTTGTTACGAAAAACAACTATAACTAATGTACATCAGTTATAACTAATGAACATTCGTTATAGTGGTTTTTCGACCAAACCGCGCTTTCTTTACGGTTTTTTGTTTTTCGAGTTACTTGATAACGCTTGTATGTTGATGTTACGTGTCATTGGAACGATAGTTTGAAGTTGTTAGAGCGCCGAGACACTCACAACGAGTCTCTTTTTTTTGAAATAACAACACTTGTTATTTGCTTTTGTTTTTGCAAAATGAAAGATGATGTGGAATATTTGTAAATTCTTTATTTTACATGAATAAATAAATAAAATGAGACCAATAACGATCTTAACATCTTTATAACGTGTTATATGACGGACGCACGGTCGTGTAAGGCGCATTTGTTACGAAAAACAACTATAACTAATGTACATCAGTTATAACTAATGAAATTTCGTTATAGTGGTTTTTCGACCAAACCGCGCTTTCTTTACGGTTTTTTGTTTTTCGAGTTACTTGATAACGCTTGTATGTTGATGTTACGTGTCATTGGAACGATAGTTTGAAGTTGTTAGAGCGCCGAGACACTCACAACGAGTCTCTTTTTTTTGAAATAACAACACTTGTTATTTGCTTTTGTTTTTGCAAAATGAAAGATGATGTGGAATATTTGTAAATTCTTTATTTTACATGAATAAATAAATAAAATGAAACCAATAACGATCTTAACATCTTTATAACGTGTTATATGACGGACGCACGGTCGTGTAAGGCGCATTTGTTACGAAAAACAACTATAACTAATGTACATCAGTTATAACTAATGAACATTCGTTATAGTGGTTTTCGACCAAGCCGCGCTTTCTTTACGGTTTTTTGTTTTTCGAGTTACTTGATAACGCTTGTATGTTGATGTTACGTGTCATTGGAACGATAGTTTGAAGTTGTTAGAGCGCCGAGACACTCACAACGAGTCTCTTTTTTTTGAAATAACAACACTTGTTATTTGCTTTTGTTTTTGCAAAATGAAAGATGATGTGGAATATTTGTAAATTCTTTATTTTACATGAATAAATAAATAAAATGAGACCAATAACGATCTTAACATCTTTATAACGTGTTATATGACGGACGCATGGTCGTGTAAGGCGCATTTGTTACGAAAAACAACTATAACTAATGTACATCAGTTATAACTAATGAACATTCGTTATAGTGGTTTTTCGACCAAACCGCGCTTTCTTTACGGTTTTTTGTTTTTCGAGTTACTTGATAACGCTTGTATGTTGATGTTACGTGTCATTGGAACGATAGTTTGAAGTTGTTAGAGCGCCGAGACACTCACAACGAGTCTCTTTTTTTTGAAATAACAACACTTGTTATTTGCTTTTGTTTTTGCAAAATGAAAGATGATGTGGAATATTTGTAAATTCTTTATTTTACATGAATAAATAAATAAAATGAGACCAATAACGATCTTAACATCTTTATAACGTGTTATATGACGGACGCACGGTTGTGTAGGGCGCATTTGTTACGAAAAACAACTATAACTAATGTACATCAGTTATAACGAATGAACATTCGTTATAGTGGTTTTTCGACCAAACCGCGCTTTCTTTACGGTTTTTTTTTTGAAGACACAACTATAACATTTTTGTTGGTCATATATCACCATTTAACGTTAGTTTGGACCCGTTAGAGCGCCGAAATAATCATAAGAAACTCTTTTTGAAATAAAGTTTTTTTTTTGTCTGTCGCGACCGCGATGGGTGTCGCTCCCGTGACGTCCTGAGAGGAAGTCTGTACGGCTCGTGTGTCGCGTCCGCGAGATTGCCCGCGCCCGCGACTTCCTGGGAGCCTGTCTGTCCGCGTGTGTGTCGCGTCCGCGAGATACGCCGCGACCGGGATGTGCAAAAACTATATAAGGAGAAAAATCGTTTTTTTTCATTCTCCATTCCTCTTCATAAATTTGACCTAAGAAGAAGAAAAAAAAAACCTATCCGCCAACTTCCACATCCGGCCACCTACTCCGACCGGCGACAACACCATATCCGACCATCTACTTCGACCGGCGAGGACACTCCATCTTTCCGGCAACATAAATTCCGGCCAAGTTGTCTTCACAAAAGAGCCCTAATTCCCGATATCCCATTCCGGCAACGGCAAGGTTGTTTTCTCGACTTCACCGCACGGTAAGGTGTCACTCTAATTGCTTGAAGTGTATGGTTTTAACTTTTTGAGGTTTGAGGAATCTTCTAACTCTTTCTTTATTAACAATTTTCAAACACATATTTCCGCACACAAGGTGTTCAACAAATTGCCACAACTACGGAAGAGGGCTATATTGCTTGCATCCACTATTTTCCTTCGAGAGTATCTAATAACCAAGCATGGGTAAGGCATCGTCATTGAAAAGTCCCGCAAAAGGCAAAGCCGGAGGCAAAAGAAAAGCACTTGTAGAAACCCCGCCTCCTTCACCGGACTCGAACAATAGCAACTCGAACTCGGTTACCGAAACTCAAACTTTGGCTCAAAATCACGGCATTCCATTCCCTGTTTTCTCTCAAGATGAGGTGCACACGTACAAACGACTCATGAAGATGAAATGCCGGATCCCACGGACACTTGATTGGGAGTTGCTAGACTCGCTAAAAATCTCGGAAGACGTGAGGAAATACTTGAAGGCCCTCAATCTTGAGAAGTACGAAGCCATGGACAATGTGGCATGCACGGAACTAGCGGTTGAATTCTTTACCACATTTGTACCACGCGACAACGGCAAGTTTTTCACTTGTCGGATGAAAGGTAATGAATACAAGGTTGATAACAAGGTGATGCATGAGGTATTTGGTTTCCGCATGTCGGGGTCTCGCAAAGTACCCGGTGATTTTGAGGTGGACAAGCCTTGGGCCGCTCTCTCTCCATGCGATAAATTCAAAGTCAAGGGCCCATCGAATGGGCTAATCAAAGATGTGGCCATTGCGGTTGTACATAAATTTCTATGCTACAATGTTTTTGGCAAGAAAGATTCCAACAAGGTTAGCGAGAAAGAAGTTTATTTATTGTGGGAAATGTGTACAAAGAAGCCCATATGCATGACTGCATTTGTTATGGAGACACTCCGGGGCACGAAAGTCTTTGCCACGCGCCCTCCAAGATTGGCCAATATCGTCACCGGGCTCGCTAAGCACTTCAATGTTCAAATTGATGAAGTGCCGCTTCAACCGAAGAAGATTGTGTTGTGGGATTTGGTGAAAGCGTATCTCGTTAAGGACAGCACAACGATCATTGATTTCAAACATCGTGAGTGCTACAAGGCATATTTGTCAGAGCTGAAGAAATCGTCCGGAGAAGGTGGTTCCTCGCAGCCACAGTCTCATTCCGAGGACGAGGCGGAGGACGAAGAAACACATACAAACCCGGCGGACTATTTCCTCCCTCCAGCAGTTGACGCGGGCGCTGCGGACGCGCGATCTCAACAAGCCCCCGCTTGGTTCGATAAATTCATTGAGCATAATGATAGGCGTTGGGAGGAGCACAACAAGAGGCTCGATACCTTTATTGAGCATAATGATAGGCGTTGGGAGGAGCACACCAAGAGGCTCGATGAACGTTGGACCCAATGGGAGTCTCGACAATTTGATCAGTGGAAACAATGGGGCGACCAGTTCCAGCAATGGGATGTTCGCTTGAGTTCAGGCAGCAGCCTACCCTACCCTCCACCTCCACCTCCACCTCCACCTCCACCTCCATCATCGGATGCACATGATGCACAATGACAGTGCGTTGTTTTTAGGCAAAGACTTTTATTCCAGACTTCATAATATCAGTTTTATCTTTTGGATTTGGTTTGGATTTGGTTTGTGTTTTAGAATCGACATTTGGTTTTGATCTGTGATTTCGTTTGTGTTTTGGAATCAACATTTGGATTTTAAGCGTTATTTCTTCTATTGCAATGTGTATTTGATTTCCAGTTTTATATAATGTAATATGCAACGAGATTGAATTCGTTAGGGTTATTTTTTGATTAAATACGACAAAAAATGACACGACTATTGTCATTACCTATCCATTTTAGAAAAGAAACACGTATTGTTATTTCAAAAAATGCAATATAACGAGAATGATTTCTTTACAATCGACCGAGGTGAAAATAACCATCACGATCAAGGTCGAAAATAACAAAGAGAACTACTGCCAGGTCGTCGCCTGCGCGACACGTGTCGCGGGTGCGACACAAACACTTACAGATCTGTTGCCAGGTCGTCCCGGGCGCGACCCTTGTCGCGGGCGCGACAAAGACGCTTACAGCTCTGTTGCCAGGCCCTCGCGGGCGCGACGCGGGGCGCGGGCGCGACATTGACACTTGTTTCGGTTAGACAGAGAATGTTGCCTCCTCATCGCGGCCGCGACGTTCGTCGCTTTCGCGAGATATCAAGTTATATTTTTTTTCATAAAATAACGAATGTACATTAGTTATTTTGTACAATATAACTAATATACACTCGTTATATTGAAAAATTATATGTCGCTGTCGCGACACGTATCACGGCCGCGACACTGGCCCTATTTTTGTCCTACAGAGAAGTTGGCCTCCATGTCGCGAAAGCGATGGACGTCGCGTCCGGGACTCTCAAGTTATATTTTTTCTACTAACTAACGAATGTACATTCGTTATTTTGTACAATATAACTAATGTACAATCGTTATATTGAAAACAATATTTGTCCCTCTTGCGACGCTTCTCACGGACGCGACACTTGCCCCGCGACACTCAAGTTTTATTTTTATTCCTGTACAATATAACGAATGTACACTTGTAGTCGTTTCCTCGATTTAATTTCGGGAGCTCGGCATCGAACCCCTCGTTATTTATTACATTAATATTTTTTAACCATTTTGATAAAATACTGTTATAACCACTGCATTGGGAAGCACATAAAAAATACAAGTTCAAAAATCGACCACCCTCATCAATCATTATATTGAAAGACACATGAAAAATAATACAAAAATGTATTATCCAAAAGATCCCTACAACCCATTACATATTGACTGTTTAAAACAAACTATGGATCAAAATGAGCACCAAATATTTCAGACGCTAGTTTAACACGCCAATCACTAATCCGAGATTGATCGACGCCTTCAACATTCTTCCCAGCATGCAAAAATTCTATAAACTTGATAGTAAACATCCCACAATCAAACCTGCAACATAAATGTACAAATTCTATTACTTTACCAAGTTTCATAATACACTTACAAACCTAATATGATCAAAATATATATTATACGTACCCATTGCTTTGGCTAGGAGATGTCAACCGTTTGTACTCAAACTTTTCACCACTGTAATTGGCATTCAGCTGTGCCAGTAGCATCGGTACGACAACTCGAATGGGCTCAAGTTGCCTCTCCAGTTCTGCCCTCCGCATGACACTTGTTTCGCTATCATAGACGTAAATGCATCTATGGGATAGATCAATCTCCAGTGCGATCCAGTGGCCACCGCCCTCTTTGCAGAAAGGAACATACAATTTCGTACAACCAGCCCACGGCTTTCCATTACTGGGTATCCCCCCTGCGGCGTAACTACGCAAGGCCTTCGGAAAATTTTTAGTCTTCGACATGTCTTTGAAGAATTTTCTCACGTACGAGACAAAAACCGTGTCCAAGACAGCACAATCTTGTCTAAACAAGAGAGGGAACTGTTTACCACGCTCTCGAAATTGAAAAAGCGCTTCATCTACATGCTAAAAATATAATGTTTATTAGATTATTGAATATCATAATTTTCAAAGGTAAAAATATTAATTTTTTTTTTTGTAAACAGTTTACCACACTAGTAAGCCATCCATCGCTCACAAGTTGATTAAAAAAAACTTTACGTGCTCGACCACCACCACATGACAACTCAACTTCAGCACTACATAAAAAATTAATACCTTAAACAAAGACATAAAACCTTATATATTACGATAAGTAGCCCACAATTAACTTAACACAACTACATACCTTTCAGGGTAGCTCGACAACCAGGTTTGGAGATCTTCAAGTTTAGCTAGATCCACTGGCCTATAAGGGTCGTACTCCGTCACAGTTGAAAATTTTTTCCTTTTTTCAATATTCCTCCACGGAGTACATAGAACGGCGGCCTTTCTTTTCTTCCGGTGCCCTCTCCCTTTAGGAGACTCAAGATCTTCAACGGTGTCCTCTATCTCGATTGGTGTCGGCGGTTGTCTCTCTTGGTACACAACAATGGTTGATGACGGGTCGGTCACAAAACCTACAATAAGCAAAAAAACAATCAATACTTATTTATTTACAAGAATACATCATCAAATTACGTAGTAGTTACAATTATACTTTACATACCCGTATCAAATCCATGAAGTCCTGCCATTTCTTGCTCGGACTTCTGAGATGGTGATTTCATCGTGTCTGCGAAATAGAAAAATAATGAAATAATTCAATAATATGTTGCATTTGTTTTAAAATATATTTTTTACTACAAAAAATATTACAATAATTTGTCCTATTTTTTACTACAAAAAATATTACAATAATTTGTCCTATTTATTTTAACTAATAATCGAGTAAAAACATTAACATGTACATTGATTTAAATAAAATAACTTTACCACATTCAACGGTCTCCGTATCCCGCACATTTTTCTCCACCTCAACATCCGGATCATCATTTGGCACATCATAAGTAGCACGGCTAGATGGTTTATCTTTTGCTTCAAAAAACTCATTCTTCATTCTCTCAAACAAATTGTTCATCTCCTCCTTCACCACTTTTCTCACCTCGTCCTTCACCACTTTCCTCACTATATTTGTGATCTTTTCTTCATCCAAAACATGAGGTTGTGGTGCATCTTCAGGTTGAGACGCATTTTCTTTTTCTTCTTCTTCTTTTCCTTCTTTTTCTTCTTCTTCTTCTTCCTCATCATCCACATCATCATCATCATCATCACCTTTAGAAGATGCACTGCCTTCTCCCTCATCTTTGGTCGCAGTGCCTTCTTCATCCTCTTCATGACGGCCACTACCTTCTTCCTCGACAATTATACCCAATTCGTTGAAATACGAAGACTCACATTCATATGAAGAGGGTTCCAATGTTCGTCGAACTTGAATCTGCTTGTAATATAATTAGTTTTTTAAAAGTATAAGTATAACAATAAATAAGAAGAATAATCTATAACCAAAATTACCTCCGCCCTCTCGAAAAAAGTAGTAAGCAGCTCGCCTCGCAACTGTTTCTCCATTTTCCAACAGTACATTCTTGGAAGTTGGACACCAGTATTTAATTGGGCAAATTCTCTTCCTAAGTCGAGTAGCGCCTCAAATGCCCAAATCTGCTTACCAAATAAGAGAGCATAATTAAAAATACAATTAACACAAATAAATAATAAAGAACATAAATATTTAGATGAAAAATACCATAATAGCCAGGGGAAATCCATGCAAAGAATAGTTTATGGACTCTGGATTTTTTCCCTTCCCGAAAGAGGTCCGCTTGAACAACTTTACAGTCTGCTGATACGACAAGTTGCCCCAAGGATAACTGTTGAATTTTTCTAAATCTTCAACTAAATTAAACCATCTTTCATCTACTAGAGTCTCCAACTCTGAAGATAAAACAACATGCTCCAAGACAATCACGAGTCCCAATTTGTACTTTGTCTCCGCGTCTTTCTATTTATTCAGCGTAAGAAATTTCTCGAGTAAGTCACTGCGTTTGATCTTCCCCTTCTTCTTCTTGAACAGTTGCAAAAGCGAACTGTTATTATTGGGGACCTCGTACGCATTTTCATCATCCGCTGCAATCTTAAATCCAGTTACAAGAGAAAACTCTTGTAACCCGAATCTAGCTTCTTTTTCCCCAAATCTGAACCACACGGCATCTTTGTCATTTTCGGACGCTTTCAATGTCCTACGAAGTACTTGGTGGACTATTTGGGAGGACAATATGATCTCGGTAATATTTATTAGTGGCCGGAAGCAAGACTCTGCAAATCGATCTTGATGTGCATCGTTTAAATTGTCAAATACTTTTCTGACAACGTTGAGGTTGCACCGATTGGTCACGTTTGCTTTGCATTTGGAAGGTATTTCAAACGCATATTCCTTTTTGGTTCCTAAAAACAGGAAAGAAAGACAACATAAGTCATAATAGATCAAACAAGCAATAAGTACTAACACTGAACTTAAATAGATGAAACAACGAGCTTAAATTAAGTATATAATGTCGTTTTCAAAATTACTATAACAATTGTTGTAAAGTACTCTTGTTATTGGTTTTAATTTAATACATAAGAATGTACATTCGTTATTTCATACACCATAACAAATGAATCTTCATTTTAGCTATATTTTTATCTCGGTCAATTAAATACACCTATACATTCACAATATAATATATTATGACGATATTCTACTCGTTAAAGTTATAAGTTAACTCATTTCTAAAGGATACTAATAAAACGATTCTTTATTCTATATCGAGCTTCTTTTATTCTTTGAACTCAACAACCTTAAAGCATGCTATTAAATTTTATCTTGACTAAATATTGGCTTATCAAAACTCATATATGTAACAACCTTAAAATATTTCATTCTAACAAGGTCAAATACTACTCAACATGCACCTCTCTTACAAATTGAAACTTAGAAAAATAACCTATGACACAATATTAAAATCCTTAACTTACATCAATTCAAGAGATACACCATACATGTATACATTGCGAACAAAAACCAATTCATTTTCTTTTCTTATCTTAGGCCAATATTTCTCAAACTTTATCTAATAGGTTAAGTCCACCAAAACTAAAACTTAGCCTAAAAAATAAACATATACAACAAGATTGCACACATAACATGGCTCAACATGTAAAGTCTCTACATGGCACGAAATATACCACCCAAGCCTTCTCTTTCATTTGCAAAAATATAGTGTTTTCCACAATTCCTATAACAAATGTACATTCGTTATATATTACATTGCAAATATAGAAGTCTCGTTTTTTTTAGTTGATCAACTCAATCCTACAATCATTTAATCAAACACATAGAGTTCACCTTATCAACATTTTATCAAACACATAAAGTGCAACCAATTACTATCTTCATTTCATTAACTCAATCCTACAAGCATATTTAATCCAACACATAGACTGCCCCAATTATCATCTTCAATTCCATCAAAAGTAGCAAAATTACATGAATTCACATAACACAATCAAAGGAAAGAAGAAAGAAGAAAACTCAAAGCAAAGAAGAAAGAAGAAAAAATTTCACATACCCAAGTTGACAAGAGAGAGTTCCATAGTGATCGTGCGCGAAAGAGGGCGAGAGCGAGAAGGAGATTTCCGAGAGACTAGGTCGAGCTGCGAGCAGGCGCGGTGAAGAAGAGAAAGAGCTACGAGCGATCGAAAGGGAAGAAAAAAAAAATGAAGTAAGAATAGAAGAAGAAAAGGGGAAGAATAGGAACACAACATAATATAGAAGAGGGTATGTAGGTAAATTCTTATTTAATATGATTAGTTATTAAATTTTATTGTAAAATTTGGGTCAAGGGTTATTTAAACAAAATGTGATGTAGAAGGGGTTAGTTGAACCAATTCCCACGTTGAACATGTCCAACAACAAAGAAACCAAAGACATAGGGCAAAATAAAAACCTATTAGTCTTCGAGTTTTGAATCTTAGGCAGCGACCCCACCGAGAACTCATGGGTAATTGAACGACGACCCTGAGAAGATAAAAAATCGGGTAGGATCTGAAACCAACATATTTTACAGGAATGTAATGCTTATCAGAAAACAAATAACGAAATACTAATAGGTTCAATATCTGCTAAACATTAAAGGGTGAACTGGAAAAGTTAAAAGAGAGTAAAAAAAACACAGCAAAAACACCAGCACAATCGACGTTGTTTGGGTTCTCCTTCTACAGTCCACCCTACGCAAACCGTGGCTACTCTCTACTAATTTTTCGCTTCAGTTTTCAACCTCGACAAATTACAGACAAAGAGAGGGATTGAAAACCTTAATTCGCAGATCGAAAATACTCGAGAAACTCAGATCATCCACGCTGGCAAGGTACACTCTGCATCTTTCTCTCTCTCTCTCTCTCAAGGGACTCGAATTTGAATTCATTTTTCTTTTAGAAGAATCTCTGCTTTGGTTCTCCTTCTACATCCCACCCTGTGCAAACCGTGGCTACTCTCTCCTAATTTTTTCGCTTCATTTTTCAACCTCGACAAATTACAGACAAAGAGAGGGATTGAAAACCCTAATTCGCAGCTCGAAAATACTCGAGAAACTCAGATCATCCACGCTCGCAAGGTACACTCTGCATCTCTCTCTTGCTCTCAAGGGACTCGAATGGGAATTCATTTTTCTTTTAGAAGAATCTCTGCTTGAATCAATGTGAATCCGGATTAAATCAGCTCAAAGGACGCGTGAAAATATTTGCAAAAATATGGATGTATCTATTTGATTGCCTAAAAATCAGGAAATAAAATTGAAGCGTGAATATGAAGGTATCTATTGCCTAAAAAACAGGAAATAACAAATATCATTATATAAAAAAATAACCTTTTTACAAATTTAGAAACATTTTCCCGCCAAAATCATTAAATATATCCTACATATAGTAATTGTTGAATAAATTTGAATAGGCAAATAAACCGGCTCATTAATTGGGTAAAGATTTTGTTTCTCTTTTTCCTGTTTTTTAGTTTATCAAAATCGTTGTTTGACAATAAATATTTGTTTTTCTTTTTCCTATTTTTAGTATAAATCTACACGAGCTTATCTCTTCGGTTAGAAAATCTCATTGCATACGTCTCACGTGTTTAAAAAATCTCATCCTTTATCTATACAGATTTGAAAAAATAAAATAAAAATCAATTCATAATTACTACTAGAAATTCATAATCTTTAAAAAGAAAAAATAAAATAAAATAGAAACCAATTCATAATTACTACTATAAATCCATTATCTACTTTAAGAAGTTAATTTTCACCGGTCTAATTACTAATATTTTTACAAATATTATAAGCTAACCATACAAAAAAGTATAATAATAATTTTGAAATGGTGTGTAATAATAATTTTACATTGTTTGCCTCGAATCTTTAATTTATAATTATTAAGTATTGTTTATCCTCCTCTTTAATTTATAATTATTTTTTTTCTTCCTCTTTTTAAATAGGATCAATAGTAGTTTCCACTTCCGCCATTGAGTGACTCAAGCTCGAGGTTTATTTATAATATTGTTAATTTAATATTGTTCCCGTGCAGCGTACGGGGTATACACTAGTTTTTACGTAATCAGAATGAATGGCAATTAACAGATATGTATTCCTTAATAAACCGCAAGTAACATTTTTTAGAATGATTCAAAACAAAAATAAAATAAAGATAATGTTTAATAATTTTTTGGAATTTATAATTGGTTTAATAAATATTACTTAGTCCAAATTCATCATTGAAAAAACTATCTTTTTCTTTTCTTTTTCATGAATCCATACTGAATGAATGAGTTGAACCTCGACGACCATGCCAATAGCATCTACAATATATTTAAAAAAAATAAATATCAGTTTATTAATTAATATATGAATAATAAAAAATAAAATTATAACAAAATTCGAATCCAACACAAATTAAAATTTTTACCATAAAGAATCGAGTCATCAACGATGTCAATGTTATGAAAATTCGCAAAACTATAGAAGTCAAATGTCCATGTAGGGAAATCAGAGAGCATCTGAAGAACCTCAGTGTCCCCATGGATTACGACTTTGTAGTCTCCATTAGTAGATCGAAATTTATCAACGTTGATGTGTAGTAGGTAGTTGGTTATTAAATACACTCCACCCTCCTCAAAACCTCCAGCGAATATAGGCATACCACGAACAACGCCAGTTATACGGCTCCCCTAACAAACAAAGAAAAATTGTTATTGAGATACAAAATTAATCAATAGTCGCAAAACAAATTTAATGCACTACAATAACCTCCATATCGTGGAAAACTATTTCTAAATTGCTTGGGTAGGCTCTGTTGAATACACGAATGGCCCTAAGCTTAAGAACGAAACTCATATTCATCATACTCAAATTGAACTGCCTAATCAAGCCATATTGGTCCATGATTTTTTTTTTCTCTCTATTACGATTATGTGAGGGTTGAATGAATGCGACTTTTGTTTTTTTGGTTATTTATTTATAGTGGTAATAGTATCTGTAAAAATTGTAATTACTAATATTAATATAATATTTGTAAATCAGATTTTATTGACGAATCCAAGTTAATTAGGTCTCCCAAATTCGTGTAGATTATTAAAGAGATTTGTACGCCAACTTTTATGGACACCTTTCACATATATCAGTTTTTAAAAAATAAAGTTTTTGTTTTAATATACATGTAAAAAGGAAAGAGATATTTTAGCGATCAAGGGACTTCACATATATCCGTTTAAATAGGAAGATTTAAGATTTGGGTAATCAATAAAATTGTTTATAAGTGTAATATAAATATAGTGTAATATCAATAAAATTCGTTCAATTATAGTAGCATGATCTTTGATATATTTTACGAATTACATTAATTATTCAAAAATTAAATGTTATTCCATGCATTACATAAATTTAAACCCGATCAAATAGAGTTTTCAGAAAAAGTGTTTTTGTGTTTAATTTAAAATAACACCTAAAATTATTATGAAGGTTGTTATGTTAATTGATTATATTAAATTTATTTCATTTTTCGGACTTTTCTTTTCATCCGTGTAAATTTATCGAAAAAAAAGATAGTAAAATGTATATTATAATACAGCCGCAATCTATTGTGATACTCATTGTCTTATTAAGTTTCAGACTGTAAATTATAAAATTTATTGGAAATTATCAACTTTTTTTTTAAGATCTACACAAAATTTTTATAGAACGGAAAACATAATAAAATGGCATCAAAATTGGGAAAAATTTATTCACAAGCGGAACACACTCAAACATAATAAATTTCACCAAACCCTATAATTGGGAAAATTGAAATCAAAGTACATATTAAACATAAGGTTTAATATTAACCTAACAAACGTCAGGCACTAAAAATGTCAATTAACGAAAATGACAATTACTAAAATTACTACCAATTGTCAAAATATCATAAAATTAATTATAATAAAATCATAACATAATCCATGCCGCATCCGGAACGGTGCCACTCGCTAGTATTGAGGAAAATTCCCATTGTATTCGCATACATCAGTTCTTTCATTAAGCACAAGCTTCCAATGGTGTGTTATTGAATTGTTCCTCCCCCTATTATATTCAACATTATAATTGCGGATTACGTACACATCGCCCTTTTTAAGGCGATCTCGATATAATCCCACAATCGGCGAACGCACTATTTCAGTGATGTATGAACCCTACATTTTTTACTTAATATAAATTTAAAAAAATATTGAAACATGATAGGAAACTAATAATAGTTCTATATGTAGTTATGTATTAATAAAACAATTGGATTAATTACCTGTTGATCATGAAACAGGATATGAAAAGCATTCTGATGCTCCAGATCGTGATGAGTTTCAATCAAACGGACTACTCTTAACCTCAAAAAAGGCTTGTTGGATCGGTTGACGGCGTGGATGTTGTCTAAATACGATGTCATGATGTCTTTTTTTTTTTTGTATTTTGAGTGTGTGTTGCGCGTTTGATGAGGCGAATAAAAAAGGGTATCAATGACTACCCTTTTATTTTCTATACATGTTTATCTCTACTGAAATTGTGGGATGATATTGTTAGTATATAACCAAAAGATAAGAATAAGAATCTGTTAAATAAGGTTATAACCTTTTTAAACAGTGGTTTCATAACTAATGCAGATAAATAAAGAGATTTTGATACCAATTAAAGCGCGTGAACCAACAAAAACGCCACAATTTGCAATCGTCAATCTATATCACAAATTCGAATTGCACGTTTTAAAGGGTTGCCAAAATGGGTAAGTCAAGAAGGTTGACTTCAATTTTTTTAAAACTTTCCCAAAAGGATTTATTGACCTCTCTTTTTCAATATATATAGATGTGTGATTTGCATAAACCTTTATAGCATGATTGATATGATGGAAAGGAATTTCGTAGGAATGGTATGAATTGAAGAATGGAATGAAACATGTTTTGTCATTGATGCGTTTGGTTTGCAGAAGAAATAAGACTGGAATGGAATGACATTATCATTTTTTATTATAAAAATAAATAAAAGTTTTTTTTAAAAATAATATACTTTTAATAAATTATATATAAATGTTTTTTAATAATATATAAAAATAAAATAATATATTTTTAATAATATTTTGAATAATATATAAAAATAGAATAATATATTGTTTAATAA